GGGGCCAGGTCAAGAATATAAGGTGGTGTCTAGGAGTGGGATACTCAAAATTTAATGTTTACCTGTAATATTTCTGGGGTTTGGTTTACACAATAGCTGTGGTTTAGTGTTGTGTAGTGGCTCCCCATAAGTGTCATCATCGTCCTCATTCTAAAAGATTAAATATGAAACCTGGTTATCCTTGGATTTAAGCCACAACGCAGACTGGACCCTTGATTTTCACATACCGCTGTTCCAGCCATGCATTCCTGCCGTCTTTCTCTGATGTACGTGTTCATGCTTATAGCAGACGAAGAACCTTCAAACCGATACAGCGGAGTCTAAAAATAAAAGGTGGCAAGAAATCACTAGAAGCTGGTTACGAGGACAAACAAATTCACCATCACGCTTGTATCATCAATGTACATATGCCACCCTTTAGCGGTATTGCAAATTGTTTTTCACGTGAACCTGATTTAATGACCAGCCTTAGCTTCCGCGACGCTCCTATAGCTCATTGGTAGAGCACATGGACTAGTAACCAAATGGTAATAGGTTCGACAGTTATCATAAAATTCATGTAGCCAGTAGGTACTTTCCGACAAGGCTATGGCGATTCAACAAATAAAACAGTGGAAAAAACCTGGAAGAATCTTGGACATTAATATTATTAAGATATCTGAAATGCCACTACTCATTTACAGATTGCCTTGAAATAAGGTCAGGAATTGAACCTGTGAAATGCTGATTTAATCCTTGAGATAAGCAGACGGAGGTTTGAGATATTCAAACTCTAGTGCCTTTTTGATAAAAAAAAGTGAAAACCAGGCATCTTACCCGCTCATCTGATTTTAATAGCCCTCGCCTCCTTAGTGTAAAGAATTCTGCCACATCGCTAAACAAAAACAGCAACAATGAAAAAAGAAAAATATATATTACTCCACTTATAAGATGTCTTGCTGATAAAAATATAAAGAGCAAATTGCCAAGAGCGAATAAATATCCTTGACAGCCAGATTCCCAGCAAACAACGGATATTCCATTAGTGGGGATGACTGGATGGACATCTCTTTTCAGCGTGAGGTTTGTTGGAAAGATTGAAATCTTTCTGATATCTGTGACAATCAAGATCTACAGATGTTTGGGGTCTGTAAAGTTCTTTGATTTATCACAAAAATGTGAACTTCTGTGCATTGTCATATATAATATAGAGAAATGCAATGACGAAAAGACCTGGTTACCTTGCGGACTCAGAAAACGTCACTGGCCCTTGTTGAGTTGCAGTGTTTTGAACATCCAGGTAGTCACCTAGTAACACTTGAATCTGTAATAAACAGTAATACTGTTATACAAGCTATTTTGGTGGGGCAATACTGATTATCCTCAACATTAGGTACAGTGTAACACAGATTTGACTACAGTAATCACTCACTAATAAGAATCTAGTGGTTTAAGGTAAGGTAAGGTAACGCCTTTATTTAAAGAGGGTAAACACGTGACAGTTATAAAAAAACTGATAAACTTGTGGCCCTCTAAGAACCATCCCATTAGCTCTTCTTGTTGTGTAATCGGTAAAACCACTAAAACTAACCCTACAACAACGAACAGATCGCGTTTTATCATAAAAATGCATTTTCGATGAAGTAAGCAAATTTGCACTGTATCATACACACTGAAGTGCTGAAAAATCAGTAATTATCAGTTGTTGAAGTGGTGAATTCAATATTCAATCAATCCCATTAACTTGAACCCCCGCTAACTCGAGCTGTTTTTCATATTTTCCCTTCAGAGTTCGATTTACCCGGGTTCTACTGTACATAATTCTTATCTGCCAGCTTGCTGTGATTAACCTTTGTGCACATTTATCATTAACACTTGTTTGCCAAGATATGCTTATGGTAACTCTTGCGAAGTTTCCAGGCAACAAACCGCCATACCATTTGGAAATTGGTCGTGTCTGTGGGCCTTATTAAGTTGGTTCTAATCCTGTACTGTGAGCGGTTCAGTGATGGTTTGAGCTATGATTGCTAAGTTTTCAACTTACGGCAAACTGGATCTCAGACCAAACAACATCTATTGTATAAATGTCTGTGTCCCCTAAATCCACCTGAGTGCCTGGTGCCTTCTGGGATATCAAGAGAAAAACCAGAGTAAGAGAGAGTAAGAAGCATTCCAATGAGAAAGTTTTCACATTTGTAATGTCATGAACATTTGAGTGCCCAAAGGGGAATCAAACCTACGACAAATAGTGCTTATGCCCTTGTGCCCCTGAGCTGCCAACATAACTGAGCATAGAGGTGGAGGGGGGCGGGGGTATTCCATGTAAATATGGGTGGGGTGTACAGCTTACTTCCTGAAAATCAAGCCCAAAACACTTTTTCAGACCCAAACAGTTCTGGTCCCGGTTGTTCAAACGTTGGATAGCACTATCCACCGGGTAATTCTCTAGCCACTGGATAGCGTAATTGATTTCCGTAATACTTACCCACTGTATAGTGATTTATCCGGTGAATAGTGCTATCCAACATTTTAACAACCGCTGCCTGATGTATATCTAATTTCAGACCAACAAACCACACATTACAACAAGGGAACAATAAGGATCTAAAAATGACTGAGGAGAACGCACTGCCTCGGTGCTGACCATCTGCAAAAAAGTAGAGGGGTCCGGTGGTTAGCCTGCGTGGCAGGTGTTAAAAGGGGAAGGGAAAGGGGCAATTTGGGGGCGCGTGGGGGAGAAAGGTCTTGCGCCCTAATTCCCTTCCCCTTCCCTTTCGAACGCCTGCCACGCAGGCTATCCGGTGGTATGTTCAGCCTTTCTGGGGTTGGTGCAGCTATGGTTGATGCCAATGTGATGCTGACCTGTTTCATTTCGTGTCACGATTTTGATTTGCCATGGGAAACGAATTAAATTAAATTAAAGGTGACCTCCTCTGTCAAAACGTGCATACTATTAGTAAAGGATGAACCTTCTGTAAAGTACCCTGTACAATGTACATCTGTAAGTACTTACAATGATTCTGTTGATGGCTGAAAGCACAGTCTCATGAGCATGGGCCACACCCCTAAACAAGTCAAACACCACTTCTAGCAGCTCAAACAGATAATGAGGCTGGTTCTAAAAAAAGAATAACAATGCATAACAAAAAACAAGAAAAGGCAAAGCTATACAGTTCCAGAAATTTTACCATGTATCCTAAAAGGGTGATGAGCATTATTTTAATACAGTCGACACCTCTATAAGACGGACACCTCTGTAAAACGGACAGTTAGAGTTGGTCCCTGCCTTTCTTTACTCCTTTTATTTGACTCTCCATAAGACGGACACTTAGTGCCAGTCCCAAAGGTGTCCGTGTTAAACAGAGTTGACTGTATTAATTATATTAACTTGTTTTTGTGGGAGGGAGGGGGTGGGGGCTTAAAGAAATCTTTGTGTCTTTTAAATTGTTTTTGAGACATATTTTTCGGAGGAAAAGTGGATGAGTGGTTAGAGCGCTGGACTTGCAATATGGAGGCTCAGAGCTCAGGTCCCACCCTCACTACCAGCAGTATATGTTCTCAGTTAGGTCCTGAGTTAAACTCCTTGGTCACACTTCTAACAGCCANAGTGAACACCTGTATAACAGGGCAACCTTTGTAAAACGGACAGTTAGTGTTGGTCCCTTCTTTTCTTTAGTTCTTTTATTTGACTCGCCATAGGACGGACACTTAGTCCCAGTCACAAGGGTGGCGGTATTAAAAGGATTTCCCTGTATTAATTTTTTTAACTTTTTTTTGTGGGAGGGAGGGGGGGGGGGCTTAAAGAAATCTTTGTGTCTTTTAAATTGTTTTTGAGACATATTTTTCGGAGGAAAAGTGGATGAGTGGTTAGAGCGCTGGACTTGCAATATGGAGGCTCAGAGCTCAGGTCCCACCCTCACTACCAGCAGTATATGTTCTCAGTTAGGTCCTGAGTTAAACTCCTTGGTCACACTTCTAACAGCCAACTGGTTTACCCCTGACAAGCTGGAATTTTCACTTGCGAAGTTATCTGTTTCTGTCTATATTTCAGGGCCATAATGTAAGAATGACAGTACTTACAGTTATCCCTATGAAGTCTTCGCTTGATTAATTTGCTATTTGTATAGGTAATAGCATGATTTGTAGTGATATTTGGCATAAATACCACGAGTGATATTTCAAAATTGTTATACATAATTTCACGAGCCGTTAGGTGAGTGAAATTTGACACAATTTTGAAATATCACGAGTGGTATTTATTCCAAATATCACATACAAATCATGCTATTATTTGTTTATACTACTACCCACAAAGGTTTTGTAATTTTCACATGTAGGTATTTCAAATTAAGCTGAAATACCCCTGCTCTAAGCCAATCAAATTGCAGAAATTTCTCATGTAGTAGTATAAACATTGTAATTACCTGCTGAAGAATGATTTCTCCAGGCTGCCCAATCCTAAAAAAAAAGGAAAAGAGAAGAATGAGGAAACTAGTTTTCAATGTTGTAAGAAAATTATCTTGGGCTTCATGATAATATCCATCGCAATTAAACTTATAAATTTTCAATCATAAGTAAAAATGTGGCCCAATAAAAATCAAACTTCCTGTTCCAGAGGGAAATTACAGCAAGGAGCCTAAAAGTGTGACTGCTTTTGATTTATTAACATTCTGGAAACTGTCCTTGACTTCTGATTGGTTAACATTTGTCTGTATGAAAGAATGTGAGTTAATTAAAAGAGGTCAACTTTTGGGCTCCTTGCTGTAACATAATTCTAGTATTAAACTAACTTATTTATAAGCAACTATATTTACCTTTTGGAGACAAGGGTAGTTGCTCTGTGTATTATCAATGACATCTCTATCTTCATTCGTTTCTTTATTGCCTACCAAAAAATAAGAATAAGACAAGTCAAATATCACGTGTTATAATTTATAATTTTATCAAATATACTGTTTTATTATTAAAACGATTCTTTTAAAAGTATTAATCACAAATTTGTTCAAATTACCCATGGGCTCAATTATAAAAACAAAACTGGTAATTCAAATACTTATAATCAATAGCAAATGAATCCAAGGGCAAGGTTTACAAAGTCCTCTCACGTTAAAAATCACCCTGTAAGAATAATATTATTATTGTTTGTTGACAAGCAGGAGAGAGCACCATCCTATCACCAATATGGCCTGACTTTGAGTCCTGGCCTCGGCAACCTGTGTGGGTTGAGTTTGTAGCTGGTTCTCTTCTCTGCTCTTAGGGGCTTTACTCTGGTAACTTTGGTTTTAATAATATATAGAATATGTGTGGAGAGGAGAACCCAACAAAAATTCTGAGTTCGAGATCAATAATTGTTTTATTATACATTGTTTTGAAGAAAATAATGACAAACACACCGTCGCAAAGAACCTGAATTGATATTGTTATTGGAAATCATGCATTGGGCGCACAACCTACAAATTAGTCAGTTATCTGCTAGCAGATAACTAACTAATCTGTAGGTTGTGCTGATTTCCAAAATTAGCTAGGTAGGCTCTTAGCCAATCAGAAGACAGATGGTGAGTACAACGTATAATAATAACAATAATTATTCAGCAAAGTGGAGGTGGCTAGTGATGGATATTTGAATCCTTAACAATAAAGACAAAAAAAAGATAGTTGAAGTACCTCAATTGCCTCAGGAATTTTTCCGAGAAGTGACAGTGATTCTATGATCAAAATCATGAAGTGATCACTGTCTGCCTCAGGGTCAGTATTCAGGTCCTCAGTGACCTTCCATAAAACAAAAATAAACAGCTTGTTATTTGACGTGAAACGAGTATCACAATGGTCAAATAAAAACATTGAACACACTGTAATTTCAACTACACACATTTTGTAGTTTTTTTCAGGGATTTTATCTGAGGCTGGACACCTGAGGACAGGATATTAATTCAGTTTTGCAACGTCTTGTCAACATTGAGTTCAATTCTCACCTGGAGCTCGAAATGTTTTCCAAGCATTCGCATGTTGGAATTCTCCTTCTTTTAAATTATATTGAACAGTCTTGATCTTGTAAACTGGTGGATGGCTGATTTTGAGCAAGTCCCCAAGACAGTCCTCTAAGACTGGTGTAGTTATATTTAATTTCGACCCTGTTCGCCAAAGACCCTCGAGTAGCTCAGTGGTTAGAGCTTCTGAGCAAGGAGGGTTGTGAGTTTGATTCTCACTTGGAGCTAGGAATTTTTTCTGAGCTTTCTGGTGTTAGAATTCTCCTTCTTCCAAATTACAACTTAAACTGCCTTGACCTTACTAAAAAAATTATTCCAATGAAAAATGGCATCTGAATGCTGCCCGATCTTCATATTTTGATTAAAATAATACAATACCTCAGTTGAAGAATTTACTGAAGTGACTGACGACATTGGCTCCATCAAAAGAGTTCCTAAAAAAAGAATGTAACTTTTACATATCCAGTTTTGACCACGTGCAAGGTCTACATGGCTGGATATTAAAAAAAAGTATTTTGTCCTCAATATCCAGTTATGTTGACCTTGCGCATGATCAAAATTGCAAAGAGAACAAGTAGGCCATGAAAGGACATATTTATACAGACAAAAGAGAATTTGGTCTTGAAGAAGCAATGAGGACAATCTTGGACGCACAAACCCATCATGTACCCACCCACCAACCCACCCTCTGTAGCCTATCAGAACACAGAATACTACTTCATCTTGCAGAGCCAGTCATTTTACGAATTAAAACTTTGTTAAGGACGGTCTTTATAGCTTCCTTGAATATCCAGGGAAATATATCTGACTTTCCTCAAACCTTTTTTCAATGAACAACATGTGTATCAAAAGGTGTCACTCTTCTCTATCAACTTTACTGAATATAACTATCATGACACTCAACATACTTATGGGATGGTAACTTGAAGCTTCACTGACCCCCAAGGAAGTACTCCAAAAGGTTTTATGCAGGGAGGCTCCACACCACAGCCCAACCCCTTAACCTTTAATATACCATTCTTGTACACCTTTCACATACCTTCTATTGACAAATGGTACCCCTTTCACATACCCACATGTACCCTGTACCTTAGACCTTTGCATCCCTTTACCTGCTATAAATGCACTGTCTCCCTGTATAGGCCATTATATGGTTTACCCCCTCCCTCAAAAGCACTGACCAGAGAACAAAAATTATAGTTATGGGGTATATTGGAATTTTTTAACATAAATTACAGCAGCATTTGCAGCCTAAACAAATCAGCAGTTGCACCATCTAATAACAAGTTTTACTTTTAGTCTGAAGTAAGGTTTTTAATTAAGGGGTAAGAATAGCAAATGTGTTGTCTTACTTGACGCAGTTCGTGTGTGCGATTTCTTGAAGACTCCAGAAACACTGGAGGATGACACTGACAAAATAAGAATACATGAACAGTAAAGACTAAGAAGTTCTCAAAAGGTACGCTTAAATTAATTACAAAAGGAAACAGAAAGAGCCACATGTACAGTAACAACTTAGAGCAGAACTAATTATAAAAATAGCCCAAGGCAGATTAAAAAAGCCATTGGATATAGAGAATTGAGACCCACTGTTTGTTTAAGAATGGAGGATTGTTCTGGCCTGGTGTTCATAGTTCTGAACTGACAGCCATGTAACTTGCCCTTAATTTTCAAGTTTGTTATACCATAAAATATATAATATATTGATAAAATAATATGTGCTAGAGAGTTCTTATTATAACTTGCTGTTTTTATAGATTCAGCATTTCATTTTGTTTGGGACCCACTATTTAACATACGGTAGTAAAGCATGAAAAGTGCCATGGTCAAATATGCAAACCTTTCAAAAGACTATCATCAGCCATATAAGCTGCAAGTTTGGTTCTTTTTTGCCTGCTCTTCTCTGACTTCAGGTAGAGATGAGTATTCAAATTCTTAATCAGCAATTCATGCTCCACCTAAAAAGCACAAGTCATTCAATTGCTGTCTTTGTCTCATGCTCATAACTTGAGCAAAACAACATTTACTCAAAACAATTATTTAATTCAGAAAGCTCAACATTAATTATTTTACCATTCCATTACTTTGGGGGAGGGAGGAGGCCCTGCCTGGGGGGGTCCCATGTCGCCCGTCTGAATTTTAAAACGTCTCGTGTCGGTTTTATAAATGCTTGTCAGTTATTGTCGGCTTTGCCGTTACTGTCGCAATTTGGCCGAGGGAGGTTGTCTCTTGTCACAATTTCATTTTACGTGCTGTCGCTACTTTTTGGGCCATGTCGCTTGTTGGAATTTACCCTGGCAGGGCCTCAGGGAGAAGGGGGACCAATAGCGATCATGCGTCAAGACATGGATGTCAAAGGAACCCCAACAAAAGCAAGCAGATAAGGACTGCATTCTCCTGTTCATTCATTTGTTGCATTTTCACCATGTTCGAAATTAATTTTACCATTTTTTTTTTCATTACTTTACACACAGTTTTTGTTTTGGGAAAAGGCAAATGACTGTCAAAGAATGGCTGAAAGTGGCTTAAAGGGCTGGCTATGTCATGGTATTTGCTATCTTTTTAAAAAGCTAAATCTAGTCTTCTCATCAATTGAATTCCAAAAATAAGAGTTCAGTTTGTTATTTAAGACTACTTTTAGGCATTGCAATTCTAAGTAAATTCCTGTTGTCTGTTGCAACAGATGGCAAGCTAAGGATGGAAATGGATTGAAACTTGAAAAAGTTGACTTTAATGCGATGCATACAACAACCACCAAAAAATAATTATGATTAGTGCTCCACGATGAAATTTGCTAGCTATCTTATCTTCATATTCCTAAGGGAGCATTTTTTTGTACAGTTTTAGGCACCAAGTACTAATGACTTAAGCACAAAATTAACCCAAAACAGCGATGTCTATTGTGACATTAGTCCCTTAAGCCACAAACTACCATTAGTTTAGAACCAAAATGACAAACCCACGATCCTGGAAAACCATCTGTCCATCATGTAACGTTTCATGTGATGCATCTGTCAATCTCCGTTGTTGTTTTTAATTGTCACATGAAGTTTTACTGTTTCTTACATATCTTTTAAGCTCTGAGACCATTGTAATTGGCTCACCGCTGTTGCGATGGTACCCCTGCCTTTAAGCATTTATTTACTATTCATTGTTCAGTAACAGGCAAAGCTAAAAAAAAATTTAAAATAATAAAATAAAACATATTACCTTCTTTCTTGCCTGCAAATCAAGTCTCAGATGCCGTAAAGCTTCAACACCAGATAAGCTACCTTCAAGTAGTGACACTGCAAGAAAATAAAGCTCACACTTTTAATTATAAAAAGTAGATGTAATATATCACAATATAGTTATTGTTTTATTTGATCATGTATTTAAAATAATAATTATCATTATTAATTTTGGTATTTAATGTGGGCTCACGTCAAATCACTTTAAAATCTCAAAGTGATCATATTTTAAAGGCTAAGTAATTTATTTGTTGATTAATTTTTTTATCAAATTATCAATGTCACTTTCTGGGAAGAGAAACAAATTTAAAAATCGCTTCTTGTAAAGAAAATTCACAAACGGTAATATTACAGTTACTGCACTTGAGGAAATAACAAAATACTAATTAATTAATATACAGTTTCATTACATAACTAAATCAAATTATTAAACAAATCTTAATTTCATTTGAAATTTAATAACCAAGATCTAATTGCTAGCCTTGAGTCATTGTTCACCTGTGGAGACAAGAAGCTCTGTAGCATGGAGGTAATATTTCTTTTTCTTGTATTTCTCAATTTGTTCTGGGACATTCTTCACCTGGTCTCTAAGAACATATAAAAAGTAAGCAAAAGTCAAAATTGATAGTAAATAGTTCAGAAATTTCAATGTTCGTGCACATATTAAAGGGCGGTTTCTACAACATGAATGAACCAGTAGAACTACAACAAGCTTGACAGAAAAATTACAGCTCCAGCCTCTGAATCTCAAAATTGCCTCAGAGTGGAGATGGAAGTTTGAACTCATTTAACTGACTGGATCTTAAAGGTTAGGGATTTTGCCTGGTTATAAGAAATATGAATTCCCCGACCCGCTACTTCAGTACATAGCAACATGTAATTTATTGACACAATGAATGTCAAATTCCCAGCTACATTAACCTTGGTTACTTTCTACCATTTACATGTTAAAACCAGAAATTCTGGAAGGAAAATCAAATGGTTTGTGCCATTCCATTAGGGAAACTTCAGAAAATATGGGCTGTAATTTGAGGTGGTGCCATTTTTCTACTCTCCTTAGTCTGTTTGGCTGGTTTGGATAGACTTTATAGCAGGTTGTTCTCCCACCAAGCTCGAATTTTGTAGTTCTATTGGAGTTATGAACAAGATTTCCAGTTGGGTGGCCTGTGTAAATCGTGGTAAGCACCCCTAATATTAACCTAGATGCTGCTGTCAAATGCTGTTAACTTTTTCATGTAGCCTGATGAAGCTGCACATGATACCATGAACCATACTAGAATATTCCTTACATTCTATCCAGGAGATTAAGCACTTCATTATACTCCAGTCCATCCATCCAGTATTTCTTCAGTTCTTCTCTCTTGCAGTGTAGTAAGGATTTGCATGCTTGAAGATGTTCTCTTAAGTTTTTCACTTTGTCAAGAGATGCTATCAACAACAACAACAATATTATTACTGCGCTTTTCAAAAACATGCAAACTCTTAAGCTCAAAAGCTGCCTTCACAAATGTGTTTTTCCCTGTTGTCAATCATAATTAATTTCAATCACAAGGAACAAACCTCACTTGAAACACAGAAACATACAAAACGGATTGAAATCCACCAATCACAAATCACAATCCATGACCTTTTGAACCCGCAACAATGCTTCTTGAAAATAAATAAAACAAAACCTGCAATTCTCGTAGAGATTCCAGTAAATGTTTGAATGCTTGACTTCAAGTTATCTTGATGAGCTGAAAAATATTGTTAAAGTCATTCTATTATTGCAAAACTGACAAATTGCATTACCGGATAATGTACAAGACTGCACTCTCCCCATCCCTCCTCTTTCAGGTTTTTTCACTGCTCAGAAAATTATTAGACAAATATCACTTTTCCTTGACTGCAACCTGTTTGTTTGAAATTAACCTTTCTTTTAGCTTCAAACTGATGAACTTTTCAGCAGTTCCTATCAATCCTTAGTCCCTGCTACCATTCCCTTGTCTATTTTTTTTGGAGAATTTCAGCTTGACATTTGCATTTTGATTATGTTTTAAATGCAGGAATAGTCTAGCAGGCTACAAGATGCAGTCACACAATTTTACACTTTTCGTAAACCGTATACAGTGTATCTTCACTTAATTTGAAAAGTATTTTGAATGTACATGTCTGCAAATAATTTTTCTTTTAACAAAAACATTTGTCTGACTAGGTTACTGATTTATTTAGTTGAACCAGAAATGTTGTGGGACATAATGTTCTGTTGACTTTAAATTTCTTTATTACACTAAACAATCTTCAGCCACAAAATCGTAGTGTTTTGAATTTATTACCTTCCACTTGTCTGTTAAGTTTGTCATCACTTTCTCTCAGTTCATGTTGTAACCTTTCTTTTTCAATTTCTCTTCTTTCCACATTGTCACTGAAAACAAATTAACAATATTCTAAACTAATTATCAGGTGACTGCGTGTTACTAGGACTCAAGGAGTTAAAGCAGTATGCTACATCCCTAGGAGTCCTTGAACCCTCTATTCAGCAGTTTTAAGCCTTAATTAGGGTCTTGTGCTTGTCACAGGTTAGGTACTCCAAAAAGTTTGAAATGGGGAGGCTCTGCCCCGAGGACCAATCCCTTACCCATTTATATACCATTTTTGACAGTAAAGGTAACACTTTTGTATTGTGCACCTTCTATTGACAAATGGTACCCCTTTCACATACCTAGTTAAGAAGTTTGCACCCCTTTCAACTGCTGCAAATGCCTTGTCGTTAAAATATGAATAAATCACAAAACCAGAACGTTTTCTTGACTTTTTCACAGCCATAAAATGCATCTAGTAGCCCTTTTGGGCCTTTTTACCGATTGAAATGACAGATTTCCCTACCCCCTTCATATACTTCAACAAGCGAAATTCCCCCTACCTTTAAAAGTTTAAAATTACCTTGGTGTACTGTCGTGAACACGAGAGAGTTTTGTGTTTAAATTATCGAATCTGTATAATCTTTCGTTTTGGCTTTAATCTTTTTCATTGTGTGCTGGTGTACCGGGCACAACCCAAACAAAAGTAAGGTATAAATCGAGAGGAAAATCAGCTGGTTTCGTGAAGGACGTGAAAATTGACGAAATATACTCGATCACTTACCTACTTAATAATGTACTTATGACTGTCAAAAGCACTCTAGACTAAAGAAAAGATTTCAATAGCGTTATTTAAACAAAATGATTAAAACTTCCCGGCAAGAAATGAAAATTACCGAAGAAGATTCCTTGTGTTTCCTTCCTTTGAGGTCGAACATCTCGAACCCCGCCATCTTGTTTGTTTTTATTACCGCTGTCAGACAAGTATGGTATCAGGGACTCACATGTGGGTCTGGTTGCCAGTCTCTCTCTAAACACATGTCAGAACAGCTTCATAACAGTTTTTTTGTTTTATGGATCCTCGGAGACCCAGGGGCAGCTACAATCCTCGTCAAAAGTCTTGAAACACTTCCCCAATGTTGATTTGGGTATTACAAGTGGTCTCAGTGCTTCAAAATACGCGTGGCTCAACATTGGGGAGGGAGAGGGAACATTACAGTGAGAACAAAAGTGTCAGGAGTAAAAATCTTACGAATTTTCCGGAAAATTCAAGAGAAACGGTGTCTGTTTCAACGATTTGTGACCAGTATTGTAGTCGGCACGTCGTCCCGACTAGCTGCCCCTGGGTCTCCGAGCGTGTTCTAAGTGTAATCATTGTGAACTTATCAGAACAACAGTCGTGATTTGTCTCAACCCTTTAACCCCCAAGAGTGACCAATATCTATTTTCTCTTAACAATTTCAACACATTTTTGAGAGAAACGGTTCAGAGAATTTATAAAATAATCACCAAAGAGGAAATGTTTTTATCCTTCATCAAAATTCTTGTCTCCAAACGGAAGTCTAAAGAATAATATGGTGACTATTGTTGTTGTTGTTTTCCCACTTTGGCCAATTTTTCGTCGCTTCATTTTTTTCTAAATCTACCTGTTATTATTTCATTATTCACACAACTGCTTGTAAAACTTGTTTTGCAGATATAAAAGAATGGGCGCCATGAAAATTTGATTGAGGTGGAAGAAACTGCGAGCATGGTTTACAAGGACATTCTAGACTGGATTCAGCAAAAGCTACCTTGAACTGTTTTAGGCCACGTGCACACGAATTCAGACTAATCTTTGAAACTGCATAACTTTACCCTGATTCGTGTACACTGAGGCCTTAAACCACTCCGGAGAGCGGTTTCAAAAAGATATTAGGCTGATTTAGTAATAGAACGGGAACGTCAGTTGACGACGACGCGCGCAAATCAGGAACAACTGGCTTGACCAATGGCAGAACAGCAAATTGAGCACCGGAAGTCGCATTCAATCCTTTCCACGCACTGACGTTCCCGTTCTGTTGCTAAATTAGCCTAATGTTTCGGTGAGAGGATTCACTGGTTTCGTGTGTGAACGGAATACTAGACGGAAGGCCGATACATGTGAAAAGTATATATAAATGCGCTTTTAAAAATATCCGTATTTGTGTGGACGGGGCTTTTTACGATAGTGTCAATCTACAAATATAACTAGAGTCATTTCGGTTTTTTTCGATTCTTTCATATTTAATTCGGTAAATTCAGATGCCTTAATTTGCATGAGAAAGCCAAATTCTGAAGGATTCTGAAAAAGGCCGTTTTCACGATGGCGTCATTTTACTATACTAGATTCCTTCAGGGTTTTGCTTTCTTGTGCAAATTAGGGCTTTTGTTATTTAAACCTCAGTGGGATTACCAAATTTAAATATGAAAGAGAAAAATGAAATGAGTTCCTTTAGCAGTAAAAACAAGTGATCGCGTAAGCAGCCGCGGTTCAGAAGAGACCCCTATGGACCGCAGCTCTTTTGTTTTCGAGCTAGGTTCCAAACTTTGTTTGTTCATATTGTTTTCCTAAGCAATACCGTGAGGTCTTCCAAGAACTGCAAGGTCGCCCCTTATATGAAGAAAATTCGCCCCGGGTAGAGGAGTCACTCGCCTACCCGAGCTACCCTGGGCGAGCCAACATTTCCTACATTTTCTTACCGAAACTTGGCGTTTAATTACACTAAAAAACAAACGGTGGGCTCGGCTAGAGCCCTTTTTCGATGGTAAGGTCACCTCTCTAGCTAAGCCAACTTTTCTCCAAGTAAACACTTGACTTGCACAGCCGGGTCATTAACTCGATCAAGGCGAGAGAATCAGAGCATGCGCGAGCGGTGTTTTCAGTTCGGGTAAAGGGGTCAACTGTTTCTCAAATAAACACTTGCTTAAGTTGTCTTGGGCTGGGAGGGTGACCCCGGGAAAATTTTTCTCTATATAAACGGGACCTCATTCGTATATCTTCCTGATATAGGTTCCATAAACAAAACCATAACTCTTCACGTGCATCACACGTTTTTGTAAATTTGTTCGCCGTCACTACGTTATGTAGAGGACGTAAGCACCCGAAGACAAATTTCCTTTTCTCTATTTACACTTTGATGACAGAGCTCCCTAAACTTTCATTTCCACGGAAAAATCACCTACATTTGATCAACTTAGCCAGTTAAGATAACCCCCACAAACTTTAAAAGTACGCCAGATAGTTCATTTATAAATAACGTTTCGCTACCGTCGCCTCCCTAATGTCAGGCGTATTAAATCTCGAGCAACTGACGTTCAGTCAGTCTCTGTATTTTGAACGCCATACGTTAGTAGTTATGTCTCACGTTAGGTTGTCTGCTTTGGACTAGAAAAGATACTAAGGCGATCGAGAAACGGACCCCGGGTAGTTTTGCCTTCCGGTCCTCGAGCGANAAATTGACGAAATATACTCGATCACTTACCTACTTAATAATGTACTTATGACTGTCAAAAGCACTCTAGACTAAAGAAAAGATTTCAATAGCGTTATTTAAACAAAATGATTAAAACTTCCCGGCAAGAAATGAAAATTACCGAAGAAGATTCCTTGTGTTTCCTTCCTTTGAGGTCGAACATCTCGAACCCCGCCATCTTGTTTGTTTTTATTACCGCTGTCAGACAAGTATGGTATCAGGGACTCACGTGTGGGTCTGGTTGCCAGTCTCTCTCTAAACACATGTCAGAACAGCTTCATAACAGTTTTTTTGTTTTATGGATCCTCGGAGACCCAGGGGCAGCTACAATCCTCGTCAAAAGTCTTGAAACACTTCCCCAATGTTGATTTGGGTATTACAAGTGGTCTCAGTGCTTCAAAATACGCGTGGCTCAACATTGGGGAGGGAGAGGGAACATTACAGTGAGAACAAAAGTGTCAGGAGTAAAAATCTTACGAATTTTCCGGAAAATTCAAGAGAAACGGTGTCTGTTTCAACGATTTGTGACCAGTATTGTAGTCGGCACGTCGTCCCGACTAGCTGCCCCTGGGTCTCCGAGCGTGTTCTAAGTGTAATCATTGTGAACTTATCAGAACAACAGTCGTGATTTGTCTCAACCCTTTAACCCCCAAGAGTGACCAATATCTATTTTCTCTTAACAATTTCAACACATTTTTGAGAGAAACGGTTCAGAGAATTTATAAAATAATCACCAAAGAGGAAATGTTTTTATCCTTCATCAAAATTCTTGTCTCCAAACGGAAGTCTAAAGAATAATATGGTGACTATTGTTGTTGTTGTTTTCCCACTTTGGCCAATTTTTCGTCGCTTCATTTTTTTCTAAATCTACCTGTTATTATTTCATTATTCACACAACTGCTTGTAAAACTTGTTTTGCAGATATAAAAGAATGGGCGCCATGAAAATTTGATTGAGGTGGAAGAAACTGCGAGCATGGTTTACAAGGACATTCTAGACTGGATTCAGCAAAAGCTACCTTGAACTGTTTTAGGCCACGTGCACACGAATTCAGACTAATCTTTGAAACTGCATAACTTTACCCTGATTCGTGTACACTGAGGCCTTAAACCACTCCGGAGAGCGGTTTCAAAAAGATATTAGGCTGATTTAGTAATAGAACGGGAACGTCAGTTGACGACGACGCGCGCAAATCAGGAACAACTGGCTTGACCAATGGCAGAACAGCAAATTGAGCACCGGAAGTCGCATTCAATCCTTTCCACGCACTGACGTTCCCGTTCTGTTGCTAAATTAGCCTAATGTTTCGGTGAGAGGATTCACTGGTTTCGTGTGTGAACGGAATACTAGACGGAAGGCCGATACATGTGAAAAGTATATATAAATGCGCTTTTAAAAATATCCGTATTTGTGTGGACGGGGCTTTTTACGATAGTGTCAATCTACAAATATAACTAGAGTCATTTCGGTTTTTTTCGATTCTTTCATATTTAATTCGGTAAATTCAGATGCCTTAATTTGCATGAGAAAGCCAAATTCTGAAGGATTCTGAAAAAGGCCGTTTTCACGATGGCGTCATTTTACTATACTAGATTCCTTCAGGGTTTTGCTTTCTTGTGCAAATTAGGGCTTTTGTTATTTAAACCTCAGTGGGATTACCAAATTTAAATATGAAAGAGAAAAATGAAATGAGTTCCTTTAGCAGTAAAAACAAGTGATCGCGTAAGCAGCCGCGGTTCAGAAGAGACCCCTATGGACCGCAGCTCTTTTGTTTTCGAGCTAGGTTCCAAACTTTGTTTGTTCATATTGTTTTCCTAAGCAATACCGTGAGGTCTTCCAAGAACTGCAAGGTCGCCCCTTATATGAAGAAAATTCGCCCCGGGTAGAGGAGTCACTCGCCTACCCGAGCTACCCTGGGCGAGCCAACATTTCCTACATTTTCTTACCGAAACTTGGCGTTTAATTACACTAAAAAACAAACGGTGGGCTCGGCTAGAGCCCTTTTTCGATGGTAAGGTCACCTCTCTAGCTAAGCCAACTTTTCTCCAAGTAAACACTTGACTTGCACAGCCGGGTCATTAACTCGATCAAGGCGAGAGAATCAGAGCATGCGCGAGCGGTGTTTTCAGTTCGGGTAAAGGGGTCAACTGTTTCTCAAATAAACACTTGCTTAAGTTGTCTTGGGCTGGGAGGGTGACCCCGGGAAAATTTTTCTCTATATAAACGGGACCTCATTCGTATATCTTCCTGATATAGGTTCCATAAACAAAACCATAACTCTTCACGTGCATCACACGTTTTTGTAAATTTGTTCGCCGTCACTACGTTATGTAGAGGACGTAAGCACCCGAAGACAAATTTCCTTTTCTCTATTTACACTTTGATGACAGAGCTCCCTAAACTTTCATTTCCACGGAAAAATCACCTACATTTGATCAACTTAGCCAGTTAAGATAACC